TGCCAAGTGAATATTTTGTGTTTTTATGGATTTTTTTCACAATAGTAAGGTATTTTTTTGTTTAAAAGTGCAAAAAGTATTTTATATGTATATTTCAAAAATATTTAGAAAACATATTTGAAATATTTGCATTTCAGGTTCCACTCCTGATGATTGGACCTTTGTTAAATCCTGGTGTTACCTTGTGTTAAAATAAAGCTAAGCGCAAAAATTGTTGTAATTTGACATGTAATTTGACATGTATTGTTTTAAATGTGTATCTATGGATTGTGAAGGAATGCATGTTTTATAAATGTGAGGTGTGTTTTGAATAAAAGATTAAAAAGTTGTTGATCTGTTCATTTTGGAAGTATTCTGGTTGGTTTTTAGCTTACCTTTTACTAATTAGTTTTTACAAATCTATAACTATTTAGAAAATTTCTAAATATAACTATACCCATAACCCTTGACTTTGACAATGCATGCCCTGAAAGGCAATTAGAAACTCCATTCATATTCTTCATTATTTGCTAAAATACAAGTTTCTTTTATTGGAAAGTTTACATCAAATTCAGCTCAAGTTACACAATGATTGCACTACATAACTAGGTCAAAAATGGAGCTAAACAAAAAAATACTAAGTCAAGTTAAAAAAAAAAAAAAGACAATTCAGTAAAACACTCACAAGTGCAGCAAACAAGTGATCTGCTTCAAATAAAGTTGCTCCTTCACTCTACTTGGCAGAGTCCAAGCTGCTGTGTCCACAAGCCTAACACTTTAGGCCTCCACCTCAGGTGTCCGTCTTCTCCTCCATTGCATCTGTTAACTATCTGACAATAGCATAGAAGACACAATGAATGGAATGACAAGAACAAACTGGAATAACACAAATAAAAGCTGTGTTGGTCTCATTTACCTCTTGCCATCAGGGTGGAAAGCCACACAGTTGATGGGACCAAAATGACCTTTGACTCCTGCCAAACTCCTCTTTGTATGCAGTGTGGAAGAACCTGCAGATCATAAGAACACGTTGTGCCACAGGTTTTCCTTAAAAGCAGCTACAAAGTAGTCACTCCAACAGCACTGCCAACATTACAGTGCAAAGTCTGTTGCACCATTAAATGTCATAAAAACTAAATGTTTACTAATTCAATGCTTTAAACAGATATTTCATCACTGCATTAAGGCCATTGTTTGTAACATAGTCGTGGCTTCTTCAGTGCTAATGGAATTAAGAACATCTCCACTTTCTTCATCTGTTTTTGTTTAGATGAAGACAACAGTCACTGAATGGTTAATTCAACCACACAATAATACTCTGGAAACACCACTTCAACTCACCTGGCCTCAAATGTGCCAATCCTGGTGGAGGTTGTGGTCACTTCCATGGTCTCCTGCCCACCTCCCATAACCACCTACAACACACGCACACACAGACACAATTGCAAGGTTCCAGGTCACTGTTGATCTAGTAGGATACACATTGCACAGTGACAAATTCATCTTACGTGATCCATGATTGGAGAAATGGCGGCACCAGTCTCTCAGTTTTAAAAGTCTTGATGTGATCCAGAGTCAAAGAGCTGCGGAGACAACACATGGCACTCAGTCATTTGCACAACATCATCAGTCCACGTCTTGGATTCCAAAACAAACATCAAATAATTTCATTTTTACTCCACTCTATCTGGGTGGCTGACGTAGAGCCTTTAACAGCCTCACACAGTCAGCTTTGAACTAAGCAAACTTTTATTCAAGCACTCGTCTCTCTTCAAGGCCCTAAAGACACAGACGGTCAAAACCATAACAGCTCTTCAAGGCCCTAAAGACACAGACGGTAAAGTCAAGTAGCTTTATTGGACTGCAATCTGTCAACATTAAAAGGTAACACAAAACCATAACAGCCAGTTTGTTCACTCGTAACTGTACCAATAATTTCTCCTATGATGTACTTCAAATATTCTAAATCCTAGACTGAAGGAAAACGTAATTGTGAATAAATGGGACTAGTGGACTCACTCAAAGTAACTACACCTACTACTGTGTGTTTTTTTTTGTATGTATCTTCCTATAACCCCCGGCAAATTGTCAATGTTTACTTCAGTTTACACATACTTGTATAACAAACTATCAATAAATATCTTCAAATACATTTATCATTCACTTATTTCTGTTGTTCTTTTTTTTTGGAGCGGGTGTCTCAAGCACAAATGACTGGAGGGTCACCTCACAATTTCACAGCCTCTTGGATGAGAGGTGAAACGTCTTCTTGAGAAAATGTCACGTCCAGTTGCCTAATGGACCTCTTCAACATTGACCTGGATGACTGAGAATCTTCATAGACAACTCTTTTCTATATTAGCCTTCAAAAACTAAAATCTCAGGTTTAATTCTTAAGGTTAACAACTCTTCTCTGGGCGCTCTCCTTAATGGCCAGCCAGGTGTCATTCTGATGACTATAAAATTTTTCAAACTGTCATCACATTAATCATTTACATAAGAGTTCTCACCTTGGTGGTGTTGTCCTTTGAGGCGCTGATGAACATGGTGAGGTCTACAGACGTCGTTGATGTGCCTGCTGTGCTCCTTTCTTCAGGACTCCGGAATACTGACAAATAAACAACAAAAAATGTTCATCATTATCACAAGCTCTACAAAAGATGCTGCCTGTGATTCATTATTTCCTTTCCTTCATTTCTATAATACTGCGTGCAAACTATTTCTTTAGCAGTAATCAGGAAGCCGTGTACTATCTGCAGTCTCTTTTCTTTTACGGTATTAATTTGTTTACATTGCGCGTGGCGATTACCTACCGATCTGTGGCTCCCTCAGGTTGAAGGAGTTCATGAAACACAGACAGCCCAACTGCTTGTCTGTGGAAAACATGATGACATTGCTGATGAAATCGAACTTGCGTGTTCTGACGGCAGACATTGAAGGGACATGGAGCAAAAATTAAACACCAAAATATAAAACACTTCACAGGAAATTATCCATACTACATTTTAACACTCATACACTATGTCTGCTGGAATCACCTATATAGCTAACTGTTTATTTAATTTCATTATTTCACTACTCAATTTACACTGGGCAGATATTTCATGTATTATACTAGTTCTGCTTATATGTACATACATTCACATCCTACCAATTTATTTTAGAATAACAATAGTATAACAAGAATATAATACTATATATTGAGATTGCAATCAACACCACACAGCAACAATAATTACCTACTAATACTAACACTAATCTATCTACTTCTACTAACAGACTAATCTACTAACATCCAATGTTCCGATTTCCCATATTCATTGACAGTGTGCTGCTACTTATGTATTTTAATGTATTTTACCTATTTGAGCGTTTTTATTGTTGTTTTGGTGCTGGAACTCCCAAGGGAATCACAGAAAGTTCTATCTATCTAAACGTATGCATTTTCTTTTCACCCACCAGTCCCACAATCAAGGTGCTGGAACTCCCAAGGGAATCACAGAAAGTTCTATCTATCTAAACGTATGCACGTAGCACGTATCGTGGCAGCAATTCATGAGCATACACTAGGGTCAACTGTGTCATGATTACACATGTACTTGGTACAACAACTGTCAATTAATTACAATATTACAATTGTTATGCTTTTATTGGTTTCACAACACTGTGCTGTTGCAGTATGTCAGTCTTCCCTTGTTTATTGCGTTTATTGTTTGAGTTCACCTTCACATTGGTTATATTTTCTGACGCTACTCAGGAAATGTTAGGGCCTTCATATCGCTAACTATTAGTGATATAAACTTATGACATCCCTGGTGAGGACATGGCAGCATACCGAACTAAATGACATGAAAGTATACAGTCACAGTCGACTTACCGCACAGCTCCCGTGTGTCCGTTGTAGGTACCGAGTAGTTCCACAAGTCGGCCACCTGTGTGGGGAGACATTGTTGAAGGTAAATAATAAAAGGCTTCAATGCAATCATGGCTCTTCACAAATTAATGGCTTGCTCTACACTACCGGCACCACCAATAACCTCAGGAAGAAATCCATGTTACACTACTTTACTTTTAATCTGAATGAAAATAAATCAATTCTACTGGCCTAAGTCATGTCCTCTTTTCATGATTACAGTAAGATTTTCATATCATACACACTATAGTGCATATAGCCTTATGTTTGTAACACGATTGCAAGTCAAAACTAGCAGTCGTGTTGCCATTTGTAGCTTCACGTGGACATTCCATATTCTTGACGTATTCCATATTACTATTCTATAGTCACTGGTGGCAAAGGTAAGCACAATCATTTTGTGTCACTCACTAGATCTTCAGCGACGGAAAACAGAAGGTCTCCTTCTGCGTTGTACTTGAGCTGAGTGATGGCCCGGCAGTAGGATGGGTTTCTATACAGTAATATTTGCAGGTTCATTTCATATTTTCAAAAAGGTGCATCAGCCCAGCTCAAACTCCTGTCAAAGGCCATTTTTTCGTTTACCACGACAACTCTATGTTCATTATTTAGGACGAAAAACTAACTACAAATCATTTTAGCTACTGACAAAAGCTAACGTTAGCTGCCGAGACATATATGCTAGCGTAAAATGCACTAACGGTCTCAACCGAACGACTACCATTTCAAACAACTACAACCGACAATTGTTTTCAAAAACCCACCATTTCAGTCAATCACATGTAGCCACCGTACCGAGTATTTTTGACTTGAACGCCCGCTGGAAGCCCAAACGGCTAACCGGAACCGGAAATAAGGAGCATACAACGTATTCCTATTTCCGTTATGCAAACGCTCCAATATCAGTGCGCCCCTTGAGGTGAAGTAGAGTACTGCCTGACTCCCCTGCTGACTTTTCTCTGCACTTTCTTGTAAGAGCAACAGGAACAATACTCTCGCACATACATTAAAGCTGCTGACGGGTCCCATGTAGAAGAAATGCATTTGTGTATCTGGTCACCGCTAGATGAGTCTCAAAAATCCACAAACAAATGCAGGGAGATTTACAAATTAAAAGCACGTTTAAAATGCGTGTTAGACAATCCACAAATGTATTTTATGAAACTAACAAATATCTTCACATGCCTACATTTGTGAATTTTCAAAATACATTTGTAAATCCTTGTTTGTGTATTTATTCTTTTTGAGACTGTTCTAGCTCCATATTATTGCACTTCCTGTCCGTCAAAGAATCACTCCTCGTTTATACAGTGTGATAAAAGGGCAATATGTGTAAGTCTAATTATTAATATTTAACATTGTCTTTTGTAAATTAAAAAAAATGCTGGATACAAAACGGAATAAGCAGTCTTTTCTACTTACCGTAATGTATTCCTACATTAACAATATTTTATTTAGATGTTTGTGGATTGGTGTTGAAAGACTCAGTATAAACATGTTATATCTAAGTTATATAAGGACTTCTTACAGATAAATAAAAAGAATAAAAATGCATAAATTGGCCTAAACACTTTTAGCTATGTTTTTATCTTAAAAAAATCAGAAAAAACACCTTTTTTGTTATATCAGTCTTTGATCAAAAGAAGGTTCAAAAACGTTCTTTAAAGTCAGTGTCACAAATACAGTGGAGGCATAGCAATGAAAAACATAAATATCTTCAAGAGCAGTTTATTGCAATATAAGTGTTTACAAAAGAGGGCTGTAACATCATAGTACTTATAGTAATGGGCTGGTATAGATTTACTATGTAACAATGTTCAAACAGACAGTATAGAAAAGAACATATGGGTCACCTTGTCTTTACAAGATGCTATACAAGAACATGGCATTTTGAAGTGATAGCTCATAAAGAGGGCTTTATATAAACAGATCACATTAAAAGTTAGAAAAAAACATCATTATATAATCTCTTTTCTCTCTATATATCATGTATATAATTTTACACAAAAGGATCTGTTTCATGCACATATGAGAACCGTGGGTATAAACTACTGTGGCACAGAAATAAAAACGTTGTTTCTTTACTTGGCGATATCACATCACAAAGTTGAGCTCACAATATCAAATCAACAGAAAAACTGAAGACCTGTTTAGCACCAGCACTTAATGTATGATTTACACATGGAAATGTTTCTCGGCATAATATACTTTGAGAAGTGTGATGGTAC